CCAACCATGGAACGAGAGCCTTTGTGAATACCGTGAGGAGACCGCCTCGGAGACCCACGTATTCTGGAGCTGTCCCCGCACCCCAGAGACGGGACGGAATGCCCTAGAGGCATTAGCACTTCAAATGCAACCCAATAGCCTCGAAGAATGGGTCCTGCCCAGTGAGTCCCTCTAGCATCGCATGACATCCCTCGATTCCCTCCTCACATTACGTGAAGAAGACCAAACTAAAACAATTCATCTAAAAAAAAAAAAAGGCCCATTCTTATTTGTTTACAGAAGATGACTTAAGATCGGCGAGCGTATTTCACCTTTTTTATAATGATAATAAAGACGTTTTCCAACAAACCAACTAACTGACACAAGAAATTACAAAATACTGAACTTATACTATTTTTCATTCATAAATGGGTCGATGCGAAAGGCAATAGGGCAACTTCAGATAAACCACAGCCGCGCCAGAGCTGTGATGGTGCTTATGGGATCGTATATGCAATATATAGAACAGTTGCGAATATATACAACATTCGAAACTGGGTACGCACCTTTTAGCTTCACCCCTGTCCTCGTAACGGTGCCCTTACGACCAGATAACGGTAGAACTGTTTACACTGACGACAATACGTTTTATGCTTTCTCCCAAGCTGTACAAGACCTCTTCGGCCCGAAGTAAATATCTCAGGGATGAACGGCACTCGGGGCCTTAAATCTTATTAGGAGAAATCTTTCGTTCTAAACTTTTCGACATGACCGAAGAAATATATACAATCTAAACTCATTTCCCGAATTCTCAGGCTTTACTTTTTTTCCGGCGGGCAATTTATTACATCTAAATTTTAAAGAAATATAGCTATGAGAATGGCAATGAAAAGTGATGCCAAAACCAAAGTTCAAATGTTCACGCGCTCTCCAGTCACACGTTCTACGACTTGGAAGCAGGCAGCCTAAGAAAACAATATTTCGCGTATGTTTCCAAATTTCCGTTTTGCTACATTTAATTAAAACTATCAAACTTTTTTTTTTTTTTTGTAACTTGGCAGGCTTTTTTTACATTCAATTATGAAAACGGCATCTTAATTTTGTAGCAGGTGTTGCCACAGGCGAAATATTGTATGGAGTAGCCGCCGCCGACGCTTTTGGAGCAGGTGCCATCATGTGTTAGAACATAATTTGGAAATTAAAAGAGGTTGCGTAGCTGAATGATTTCATTTTTGACGATGACCGTGGGTTCTTAATCATCATTTTTTTTTTTGAAAGAATAGATAGGACGCAAGAGTAACGCAGAGTTTTCTTTTTAGAATTAAGGCTCAGGTCAGGGTAGGTTTCATTTACGATGGTTATCAAAACACGGTTGAACAATAGAGCATGGCGCAACACTTCAGTTGAGATAAAGCCTCTCTCCACCTCCCATTTGTACACTCGGTGTACAAATGTCGCCTGTGACTATGATTTCTGTAAACTACCGACAAAAAAGCAGCATATCTGCTAAACGTGTCAATAAAACTATGCCCCCCCCCCCCCCCCCCCCCCTCTTGTCCAAGTTTTACTAGACCACTCAAGATTCTAATGTTATAAACTGCTAAGACAGCCACCCACAAAACTTATGAAACCTTGCAGTCGTGCTTTAAAAAGAGGGCACTGCGCTTTAGCGGCGTTGGAACCAGATTGCAGCCAAAGTTCGCTGCCCTTTCGATTGACTGCTGCACGGGAACCACATGGACTACTTTATTTATTAAGGCGGAAGCCCTGTATGTCTCGTCGTTCAGTCGACCTTCAAAGTTCTTGAGCGAAAACACGTCAGCGACACGAAAGGTACCAAAACGAAATGTACCAATGAAACGGCTCCAAAAGTGCGCGTCGACAGAAAGCGCATGTGCACTGTCTTCGGAGCTTCGCTATCACTGGGACCACAGCCGACGCCACGATTTAAATCAACCAATAAAACGGCGCTCTTTTTTTTTTTTTGGGGGGGGGGGGGGGGGGGGGGGGGGCGGGGGGCGGGGCACAGTTTTGAGAATTGGAGATCAATCCATAGTTAAGACCAAAGAAGGTCGACGTTTAATACTACAGGGAGTTTTCACTGACGTAATTTCGTCCACCATTTTGTTGTTGTGAGCTGTCTGGTGTGTGCCAAACTCGAGCATTCCAAGGATTTACATGCCCCCTCAAATGCGTAGAGCACCGCTGACATCATCTCAACCGGTTACGATGTAATCCTTCAATGTAGTAAATTTGTTTGAAAAACAAACTAACAACAAAATGGCGGATTGACGTCATGTGCAAACGACCTACTGAGCACAAGTTTCGAGCCGATCGCGCTAACCAAGGCGTTCCAGCTTCCTCTATGTCAGCCTCTGCTCCTAGCACTCCGGTACTAAAGCGCGAAACACATGTACGACGAAACCGTCCGATCCGACGTGCGGACTGCCGGAATGACCTTGGGGGGAGAGGGTTTTCGTAGCATCGGAGAGCGTTGAAAACCCTCGCCTCCGACCGTCGTATTGCGCGGTCGGACGTCGGATCGGACGGTTTCGTCGTACATGTGTTTCGCGCTTAAAGGGGTCATGAAACGCTTTTCCAACTTTTTCCTGTTTCGCTTTCCTCCTCAACTCATAAATCGCGCATTCCACCAAACAGTTCAAGAAGACGAAAAGAAGGGAGGCCCCTCTCGCTCGGAACCTGGTTTGTGTAATCCCCGGACACATCCATTCTCCCCCTAGAAGATTAGCCCGTCGCTCAAAACTCAGACAAAAGTTTCTTTCCCTAGCCCGTTCACCCCTAAGCTGACAGTGCTGTAGAAGCTACGTGCTCCTTGGGCTAGCCACACTTTTGCCACGTAAGCGTGGCAAATGTGGCTGCAGAGAATGAAGTCAGGTGATGAAACGGAGGTGGCTGATTGGTCCGGCAAGCGCGTAGCTTCCACCACAATGTCAGCTTAGGGGTGAAGGGACTAAATGAGGTCCGGTTTTGTGTGACGTCAGTTTGGACCCGATGACACGCTTTTGGGACCTCGGATGTATCCCAGTGAAAAGGCAGAGCGGTTACGAAGGGGAGAAGGAACGAAATAGTCCGCTGTGTTTTCAAATTTTCGCACTGAATGTCAGGCTTTTGACTTTCTGCATTTTTTCATTTGGCCCACTGAACGATGTTCTATTAGTAAAATCCCAATCTAAAATGATTTATCCCAACCCAAAAATCGTTTCATGGGCCCTTTAAGTGCTGAAACTCGACACGCGCGCTCTGGTGTGAGGCGGTGAAGGTTGGCGCGAGCGGTTGTGGCAAGTGCCACGGTACAAGGTAGCCATGGCAGGGGTCGTGTGGCAGATATGGTAATCAAGTGACGTCATCGGGACTAAAAGCCCTGGTTCCGTCCGACTACAGCAGCCGCTATCCCACTACTTTGCTGACTCTGAACCTGTATGCCTGGTTTCGCCATACGTTATAGGACCGCTTCGAGCCAATCACAGCGACGGAGACGAAACACGTGACAGTATTTACCAAAGGCATAGAGACAATAACGTAACCCAATCAGTCGGAGAGGGGAAGGACGAACTCCCGTCGTTATTCTCCCTCCCCCCCTCCCCCGCTTCCCCCCCCCCCCCCCCCCCCCCCCTTCCCCAAACAGATTAGGCCCCCGCTCAAAATTCGTACAAAAGTTGCTTTCCTTTCTCTTGCGCCTGTGGCTTCGACAGCACACCTTAGGTCCGAGCGCGGCCTATGTTATGAGCCAAAGGGCCAATCATACAGCGCAAAAAACGCAGCGTCATGGCGTGCTTTCAGGAGCACGCACAGAGAAACGGCGAATACCGGCTGGTCCTATCAACTGCCGAAAGCTCGCCATGGTCGTTGTGCCTCTTTCGCTGTTTGATTGGCCCTTCGGCTCATAATATCGGCCGCGCTCGAAGTATAGAGAGACAGAGTAATGTCACGCGCCTCCCTCCGAGGCGCTGACTGGCTCACCGGGACCGTGGTCTTCGCCGTTTGCCAAGTTCACCGACATTGCCTGGAAAGCGCGACATCATGAATATTCGCTATCTTTCTGTAAAGCGCAGCGAATGCTCCGTGACTTGCGCTTTTAGTGTGCGTGTTCGTGGCTGTATGATTACTTGTAAGATTTTCATTTCCTTCTACATCTCTAAATATTAAAATCGACTAATATTTTTGTTCGCACCTTGGCGCAAGATGTAGCCAACCTTCATTTATGGCGCAAATGGCGCAGCACTTCGATCACCGCACCACTGCACTTACATCTGGCGTCACGTAATTAGCGTTACCAGTAGACCCTCTCAGGCGCAAACTTGAAACTTCAATAACTCGGAGAAAAAAAGGTTATTGGGACTTGCAAATTAGATTACTAGTTCATAGGTGTATGTTAATATGTTGAACCAATTTTAAGGTAAAATAAGTGACTGCCGAGGAAAGCTGTAAGCTAAAAGGCGCATATGAATTGACTAAAGGCACGGGGCTAAAACTGGGAACATATGAGCGGCAAAAACGGGTGCCCCGCGCTGATTCCCATAGCAACAGCCCAGGAGGCTGTGACATGGACCCATGCCAAGCCGCTACGTCAGAGCGTGCGCGCTAATTGCCATGGAAACTGCCGCGCGGCGCCCGTTTTTGTCGCTCATGTGTTCTTGTAATGAAGATAGTGCCATCGTAAAAACAGGCATGCGCCGAATGATCCTTATTATTCTCTTCAAGAAATGCTAGATTCATCCAATTTAGAACTTTCCTTCAATTTTAGAGCCCATTAAAAGGCAGACTTTACAGAAACCATCGGTAGATAAGGGCACGAGAAGGCGATATTTACGTACACTAATCGGGTAAGGAGAGCAAAATTAAAATATCCACAAAAGTGTGGCTAGATGGCGCAAGTGACTGCCCATCGCAAAGTACACCATGCACTTTTACTATTTTTACATCTCCCTATTCTATGCCAATCTCAAGCCAATCCAAATCCAAATAAACCATTTCCGGCTCAGCCAGGCTCAGCTAGCCTTCCTACTTCCGGCTTGCAAGTTGCCGGCGGGCCAGTGCAGATCGACGTGCAGGTGACGGGGTCCATGTGTTCGCGTGGAGGCATGTGTCCGAGAAGTCGCGGAGTGTGACCGGAGTGACCGCTAAGCGTAGAAGTATGTCGAACCCTCTGCCGACCGAACTGCACGACCTGCAGGAGTTGCGGGACCACCCAGAGAAAGGGGGATCTGTGTACAAGCATTACCTGGCCGCCGCCGTCGACCTCGCCGCTGGCACCGCCGGTATGTGCAGGGCTGCCACGCACCTGGGCGCTCGTAGTGCTGCATCTTTCGCGCGCCGGATTCAAGCGAGTCGGTATCATCTACCGGCTCGCCCAACCGGAAACGTTGCCGCATGATCAGCCCCGGCTTTTCAGACGTGCCGCTCCTGGCATATCAGTATCCCGCAAGCATCTTTTGATTGTAGGCGAAAAGCGTAGCCGCCACTTTAACCTACAACTTTGAGGCTCAAGCAGAAGAGGAGAGGCGCTGAGAATAAACATCTTTCAAAAAAGAGTTCCGCGCATGCGCAATCCCTCACGCAGCGGCGAAAGCTCGAACTACGGTTTGCGTCCGAAAGGAGAGTTGCTCTACCCCTCCTGCCACCGGCACGATTTTGATAAGTGGCACAGGAGGCAGCAGAGGTAGTGCAACTCACTTTTCGAACACCAATCACACTTCGAGGTTTCGCCGCTTGATGTCATCTTTAGGTGAAAAAGGGCCCATTTACAGCATATGCATAGCACTCACGCTATGGCTCGGATAGCCATTCATTTACCTGGCTGGCTTGCAAAAGCCATTTGCTCGGAGCGTGTGCCTTAAAGCCGAACCTCCAGAAAGGTAAGTCTGCTCCATAGACAGTCCTTGTCTGGAACCAGGCCTTGTGTCACGGTGCCCTGAATGTGTCTTCAACTGGTGTGTTTAGCGTCCTATTCTGCCCATACATCAAAAGTAGTCCCGAAGTGGTAACAAATGACGTCACAAAAGCTGGAGTGTTGGATGTCGCAATACTAATGGCTGTGCATAGAAATTCTGAAAAAAAAGAAAAAAAAAAGCACGAAAGAATGAGTTTTTTTGTCGTCGCGGCATCCCACCTCCTGGCTGCCAAAGCTTCCGTGGAGTGTCAAGTTGGAAAGCAACCTACCGCAGAAAAGGCGTCCACCTCATACACCACCGCTGCTGCAACACCGCCAGAATTGCGGCCGGCGACAGTGTGACACCTCTGCGATGCCATTGGGCAGAAATCGAGGAACCACTTTCCAGTCGGAGACGCTTTCCAGGCAACATACTTGCATGACCCGATGGCCCATGCCTCTCTCCCTGTGCAGGCGGAGCGGCCACGGTGGCCGTTGGTCAGCCACTCGACACGGTCAAGGTGAAGATGCAGAGCTTTCCGGAGCTTTACCCGGGCAGCGTGGGCTGCTTCAGCAAGACCTTCGCACAGGTGCGTGATGTTCCTCCAGCTGGCCAGTTTCGTTGTTTGTTGGGGCATGAGACGAGGACTCTTTTACTGGTAGAGTTCCCGTCTAGCTACTCCAACTCTGAGGTTTCCGGTCGTGTGCCGAAAAGCATCGTACCGGAAATGGACTTGGTGCCTCTTAGATAGACTTGAGGTAGCTTTCACTGTGATGCACTGGCAGCATGAAAAATGTATGTTCACGTAAAATGTGCAATTTGCCCTTGCCTCCGATTGGCGGGGGGTGGTGTCGAGGACTTAAATTTGTCCAAGAGGCAGGGTTGGACGTGCCGTTTCGTAATCCTGCATTGTTGTCTACTCACGGTGTTTCATAAAGGCCGGTTCACACACTTCCAGCTGCTTACGTCCGAGTGCGTTGAAACCTCGTGGGACGATAGAACAGATTCACGTAATCTTTTGGGTAACCGTAGAACATGTGTGATTCCCGTAATATTCCTACTTTTTTCGTGCATCATTTTTTTTTTCTTGGTCCGAAAAACTTTTGAAAATGTTATAAACAGCACATACGTTTTATCACTGCAAGACCCTTGCTCTGGTGAAACAGTTCCAGGGCCACCTCATAGATGGCGCCAGCATGCTCTATCGTCGGAAGAGAATTGCAAGAACACGGTCGTAAGCAAGCGCAGGTGTGAAAACCAGCCTAAAGGCTGACATACACTTCGTGCTTTCCACTTGTCCTTGCTTCCTCCTTTCTCATATCTTCTCCACCTTTCAAGTTGCCCCAACGCCGCACCTCGCAGTTTATGAGAAAAGGGTGGTATGTAGCAGGGTTATCTTCCCTGCAAAAGACCAAGACTGTATGTCGGCCTTTAGGACGATCACGGAAAGCGCCTGCGAAGTGTGGACACAGCCTGGAAGATGTTCAATGCTGATTGTGCGGAGAGTTGGTGCTGAACCTTTAAAAGCAGGGTCGCACTTATAGATATGAACAAGAAGTTCTCCCGTTTGCAGGACGGGGTGCGAGGCTTGTATGCGGGCACACTGCCGGCCCTGGTGGCCAACGTAGCGGAGAACTCTGTGCTTTTCTGCGCCTACGGCTTGTGCCAGAAGCTGGTGCAACGGGTGGCCCACGTGGGCCGGGTGCAGGAGTTGAGCCCCTTGCACAACGCATGCGCCGGATTCCTGGCGGCCTTCTTCTCCTCCCTGGCCCTGTGTCCGACGGAGCTGGTCAAGTGCCGGCTGCAGGCCCTCAGGGAGTCCGGCCAGGGGGCGGTCAGCAGCTGGCAGCTCTGCCGGGACATCTACCGCCGCTCGGGGCCCAAGGGCTTCTTCAAGGGCTTTACGCCCACTGTGGCCCGGGAGATGCCCGGATACTTCTTCTTCTTCGGGGGCTACGAGGGGGCACGGCACTTTCTCACACCCCCGGGCAAGACGAAGGACGACATCGGTGGGTGGCCGTTCTTTTTCGCTTCGGTACCTCCAATGAGTCTTTGACTGGTGTGTCGAGCGTCTTATACCACCCGTGCCTCAAAAGTGGTCTGGAAGTGGCAGCGAACGATGTTGCGGGAGCTGGCATGTCGTGCCGTCTAATGTCGCATTCCGAGCAGAGTCGTAGACGTTCTGGCAAAAAAATAAGCGAACACTGGTGCTACTGTTGTTGCTGCATCCCAACTCCTGGCTGTTGAAGCTTTTGTGAACTGTCGAGGCAGACAGCGGCCTATGGGAGAACGGGCTTCTACCGTATCCATCTTTGCTAAGACTCGGTAAACGTACCATGCGGAGACGTTTTCTAAGCACTGTAGTCCCTCCAACAAACCTGCTCGCATGGTGCGGTGGGGGGCTGGGCGTGGGCGTGCGGCTCCTGGCCACGGTGTAAGATAATACTCTTCAGGTGAGGACAGTGCGCTCCTCGCACAAAGCAGATAAAGTTCGCATTTCACTCTCTCTTTCTCTCTCTCACTATGGTTTCAAGCGGCATCGGCAGATGACTCGTCGACCCGTGGGCACGGCAAAGACAGCTCGTGCCGCCTCATGCTCCACATGCGCAGATCTCCAGCGAGGTTGTCACTCGTGCAGAAAGACCACGGTGTACCGGGGTGTCATGGCAACAAGATAATTTTTTTCGCTCTCACTGTTTTGCCGTTTGGCCGCCGGCGGCACTGTCAGCCGTGGGCACGGTGGCATCGGAATGATGCAGCCTTTCAAATGCCCGTCGAACGAACACTATCCGATTCCTCGCGTCGCGCGTTCAGCCCCACTGTGTCCTCACCTAAAGAGTGTATCTTGCACCGTGCTCCTGGCAAACGTGCTTTCATGCCCACCCGTTTTTGCAGGGGTTGGCCGCACTATTGTGAGCGGAGGCATCGGCGGCGTCTGCCTGTGGATCTCTATCTTCCCCGCAGACGTGGTCAAGTCGCGCATCCAGATCACGGGCTCCAATGAGCCTGCCCTGTCCGTGGCCAGGCACATCGTGCGCACAGAGGGTACGTCCCTTCCATCCTCTGTGGGTTGCCGTCCCGCTGGCAAAGCCTGGTGCAGTGGCCTTGGCTGGGGAAGCTGGATGCGTGCGCAGCGGGGGCCCGCCCATTCTTGCAGTTGCAGTGGCCCCATTCTGGGAAGGCACACATTGCTTAAAGCACATCTCCTACAACTAGTCAAGTTGAAGCAAAGCTCTTAAAGGAAGTATCCTAAAGCACATAGGCTAAACCGAATCACTTAAACCACTTTTCTTGACAATGTAACAGCTGCTGTTGTTGATTGCAGCATACTTTCTGTGGTTGTTTGCAATTTTTCTTACAGCGATAGCTGTTACGGGCTCTTCTTCGTACTCAAATTGATGTAAAACATTTGTCATTGATATAGCCAAATTCTCGAAAAAGCGACTTCCCTAATCCAGTTGTGGTTTTCATGGGATTTGACCTTGGGTCTGCCGACTGGGAAGCGGGTGTGCTACTACTGAGCCACGCCAACTGCTGCAACGTGCCTCCTAATAAGTCGCACCCATTGAGGACGGCATGCGAGTCGTACGCAGCACCCGCTGGATGACCGCATTTACTTTGACGTCGCATCGTGCCACCCCAATTCTTGCCCCATGTCCGTTAGAGGGCTTCTGCGTGTGCTATTAAATAAGCAAGCATATCACTCTCCGTCCGACAAAGGGTTGGTGCGCACATGCACTGGTGTTGCAAGATGCACACAGATTAATCGTTACGTTATCGCGAGGTCATCATTGGTTTAATGCAAGATACACAAGGATACATTAAACCAAAGCCACGTTGCTCATACATCGTACAAAAGACGTGGTGTTGGCTGCAGCCACGATGACAATGTAATCTGTAGACATGCCTCGGGCATGTTTGCTACCCACATGTGTGCTTCGAACATGTCTGCAGATGGTTTTCGTACGACCAACGTGACAGCATCATCATTAAAGGAAGAAACGTGCCTCAAACAGTTTCTGCAGACTGTCTTGTACGACATATAATTAGAAGCGTGGCTGTGTTATTAGGCTCCAACAAGGTGTCGCAGCTGTCACTTTTAATGCGGAGCGCAAGTTCGTCTGCTTCTTTTGCAGCGGTTGTGGTGGCCTCATAACGCCGAGCTCTGATTGGCTCCGATTGTTGGATAGTGGGTAGACCCCAAAGGGAAGCTGTCTTGAGGTCTACCCACTATCTTTCAACCAGAGCCAATCAGAGCTTGCCGTTCTGACGTCGCCACAACTCTTGCAAAAGAAGCAGACAAACTTTCACTCTGCATTGCACCGTAGATTTGCACGGAGCTGATTATTTGTTTTCTGCTCACGGCCCTCCCCGCAGGGGTGCGCGCGCTGTACAACGGCCTGGGCCCGACGCTGCTGCGGACGTTCCCTTCGACGGGGGCCCTGTTCCTCGCTTACGAGTACACCCGCAGGGTCCTCAACAGGGCACTGGACATCGAGGACTGACGGACCTGCGCCGTCCCGAGCGGATGCCACAGCCAGTCGCCGCCCGGTCCTTTGTCGGGAATGCCGAACTGACCCGGTTGCTATTTTAAGGAATTGTTGCTCACGAACCAACTATGCTTTAGGAACGATAAATGATACGCAAGTCCGAGGGGCGCACTTGAAATGTGACTCTTCGTATATTGCACTGTCTTGTTTATGTTTTAGGCTGTAAAATAAAACAATTGTTTCAATAACGATCTGTGCGTTAATGTGGGGCAGAGGCGCGAGTAGTGATAAAAAAAGATGGAGGTACACCTAAGCATTCCTTATGAGCTGTGAAGCGAAAGCATGCAAGCCGATCGTCCGCTCCCTTTTTCGTCTGCTGCATTCTTTTCGTCGCCGGTCAGCGTGTGTGCTGCCCCGCACACGGTGACCTTGGACACTCCAACGGAGCGGTTGTGGAAACTGACGAGCGCAGCAGCCAATGGGAGCCCCGTCGACGCGTGCCTCCCAATGGAACCGAAGGATCGGGGAAACTATGTGCCGTTTTCGCGCTTCAAACTGTTGACGTCTGCTCGCTCCATGAGACAGTGAATGCTTTCGCATTAAAATAATTGTGTTGTGTGTATGTTTAGATGGCAAGAAGTTTGTTAGCCCTATTGGCCGTCCGGCGTCTCCACTGTAGATAAAAAAATTTATCCAGTGCCGTGCCGCTGCTAGCCTCGGGTGTTTGGAAAATAAGTGTCGCACTTGAGTGACACATGACCACAAGCCGATACAATGCTTGTCCAGATTGAAATAGACTGGTGGTTATTGAACTCGGGATTCCTTAAGCCGGGCTCACACTTCTCATACATCATACGGAATGCAGTCTGAAAACAAGTCCTGGAACTTGTTGCCATGTGGGATTCGAAGCACGGATTTCGTGGTGATTCGCGTTCAAATCTGTTTTCAGACTGTCTTTTGTATAATATATAAGCTGTGTGACCCTGGCTTTAGTTCTGCAGTGAGCAAAAGGCACAAGTAGTGAGCTTATGCTGGCAACCTTTGCTCTAGTCTGTGGTAAGATGAGGCAGAGCGCAAGGTGCCGCATATGCTTTTTTTTGCGCACATTACAGTCTTTTTCCATGTCGGAGAATTTTCAGGGGCGGAAAGACAACTGCTGGAGGGGCATTGTGGAAATCTGGTAAATATGGTGAGAATTCTTCTGGATGTGACATTTGACGAATGCAGGCGTGTCCACCAGATCTCATTGACGAGAGGGGATCTATACGCGTGTGACGTGGAGATATAACTACTGGTTTATAGATAAACGGGTGCGTGCTGATTTGGGGATGAAATTTGCAGGGAATGGAATGTGTCGGACACCGATGGGAATCGTAATTATCTGATCGGGCATCCTTTACTTCTAGAGTTCTCACACTGCTTGCTTGCTGACTTTGAGCACATTATTGATATATAGGGAGTCCCAAGTCACCAGGCTCGATCTAAACTGGACCGTAAAAGTCGGCACCTGCACGAAGTAATCTGAACTTTTCGTCAAAAGATTTATTTCACGGGTCGGTTTGTTCTTGTAAAATTACAAAGCGTACCTCCCTTTCTGTAAAATATAGGGCCAAAAAGCTTGCCCTGGTGAATGGCGGACGGCAACACAGACGACAGAGTTAAGTTGCGGGGTGCAATTGGTGTACATATTGATAGATGACGTTGAAAGCAGCGTCCAAAGGTGAAGCCGACCAGCGAAAGAAAGCAGACGACATGCAGACGAAATCTGTTAGCAGAAAAAGTGTCGTCGCTATGCAAACACACTTTTTGTTTACTTTTGCTTTTATTGTCCACATTAACTTTTAAGCCAAATGTACTTTAAAAAAAGATTATGTTCATTTTAATAATCCACGGTGGTTCCGAGCAGAGGCAAGGAGGTAGCGCCAAACGTGCCCTGTCAATCGACTTGGTTGTTGAAGTCGCCGCCTGCCGTTGACCCTGGGCAGTTCCTTGGCCCTATTTTTTACAGAAAGGGAGTTACACTTTCTAATTTTACAAGAAAATACAAACCTGTGAAATACATCTTTGACAAAAAGGTTAGATTGCTATGTGCAGGCGTCGATTTTTAAGACCCATTTTAGATTAAGCCTGGTGAATTGGGACACCCTATGCATAGCTTGCATTTGACGTCATTCGTGGCCATACCAGTACTTTATGTCCCACATGCGTTCGGTTCGCTGTGTTAGTTTAACACCTCAGTACCTGTATAGTTCGGAGAAACCAGTAAGTAGAAATAACTGTCAGTACCCAGCAATGGCGATACTTGCAAGCTATGTATATCTTCTGAAGGTTGATCTCATAATCAAATTCCATCAGGTGTAATTTTCGAAATAAATGCCACCTGTCGAAATATGCGGAGTGCATGCTTGTCTGCTTCCTGCACAGGGGTTGTGATGATGTCAGAACGCCGAGCTCTTATTGGCTGATTGAAAAAAAATAGTGGGTAGGCCTTGAGCCATCTAGCATTGAGTTCTACCTACTATCCTTTCAATCAGCCAACCAAATACTCTGCAGACGAGAGTATTTGGATCCCTTTCCTTTCTTTGCAGTAAATAAGAGATAGAAAGAGAAAGAGCAAGAAAGTTTCTTTGCATGAACTTGGGGTCAACCGGGTCAACTGATTTTTTCAGCAAAAATCTAGGAATACGACGAACACAGTAAAAAAACTAAGCCAAACCATTATTGGTATTGGGCGGCGGCTTGCACCACCTAGGCAGTGTTTAATTTTAGCTGATACTAAAATATAAAAATTTATAATAGGGCTATTTCTGAAACTTAAAATTCTCGTGACCAATTTGGTTACGTCCTTGCCTGCCTCCCTGTATCAAAACGCTGGTGAACGCCACAAGTTTCCACGTACTAATTGATCATCCGATCAGCCTAAACCAGCATATAGCCGCTTAGATAGTCAGCCCAAGCCAGCCACAGCAAGCAAGCGGACGCATTTCAGTCTACATTTTTGGCGCGGTTTCTACAGTTTCTGCCTGTGCTTCGTTGTTGTTTTTGCTGAAGGGGAAGACACGCCAGGTTATAGCATGGGTTTGTGGGTGGACAAGCACCGTCCAGTGAGTCTGGCAAAGCTGGACTACCACAAGGAACAGGCGACGTATCTCAAGAAGCTGGTGAGTCTCCATCACCCCCTTTAAGAGACGCCGGTTACATCGAGTGATTGCTTCGCATCAGCGAAGATCGGTGTCACGAGCACGGTGGAAGAAGAGAGAGGTGCCTTAACGGGCGCCGCCTTACCGTGGAGCAAGTGTGTCGAAGCAAGGTTGAAGTAGAGTTCCTGTACGGGAGCCAGAGTTACGCGTGCCGCCGCCCCGCTATTCGCCGAAATCGATCACGTGAGGAGCAAAGAATCCTGCGCCGTGCAGGAAAGTAGACGCTACACGCGCCCCGGCGTATGTTCCTCTGCTTTTGCGTCCTCCTCTCCATGCGCGCGCGGCGCCCCCATTCGTCGAATTCAGTCACGTGAGCGGCCGCAATCGATAGAGCACGGCTCCTACACGCGCGAGGAGTGGCTTTCCCGCATAAGGATTTCAAGATGGCTGAACTCGCAACTCTGGCGCCGGCGTACGGGCACAGGAGCGTGGTACAGAGCAATGGCGGCTGGTACAGTGCCATATGACGTCACATACCAGGCATGTATACAGGAACTCTAGCTCGAAGGTTCGATCTGAGTTCTAACCAGCGGATGGCGCAGCATGGCAGGAGCTAGAGGAACCATCGTCGTTTGCACACTCGTTCTGAACGTCGCGCATCTTTCGCGGGGGCGTGCGTTCACGATTGTGCCTGCGCGCAGAGCCATAACCCGACTGCCCCTACTGGGAGATGCGCGAAGTCCGAGTGGATTTTCGACCCCCTTTCTGGCCTTGTTGCGACGCCTCTCTATTCTTTCACCGTGGTCACGAGTGTCCACGCATCAGGTGCAGGGCGGCGACTTCCCCCACCTGTTGGTGTACGGCCCGTCAGGGGCCGGCAAGAAGACGCGCATCATGTGCCTGCTGCGCGAGCTGTACGGAGCCGGCGTCGAGCGGCTGCGCATCGAGCACCAGAACTTCATGACACCGTCCAAGAAGAAAGTGGACATCGTCACCGTGGCCAGCAACTACCACATCGAGGTGAATCCCAGGTAGGCTGCTCCGTTCCCACGCTTGATGTGCGCCCACGGCCGCTGCAGCTCGCACCAGCCGTGACCATCAGGAAAGCATGTAGTCACGTGACGTCAGTGTCGCATGATTGTTCGCACATAATCGCAAGGGGGAAGGGGTGTGGAGAGGACATTGGGCAGGGGTGTTCTGCCTGGCAGAAAGCGCTGTTTGTGCCACGAATTCAGATGCTGTATGAACATTTATTAATTCATTCAAAGCGCTGCTTGAGTGTCGGCCTTAAGAAGACAAGAAAACGTGGGCCGAAAGAGTGGATATTAAAAGCTGCTTCTACGCTTGTAGTTTTCTGTTGTTGCCTCACCGGCGGTGCATTAGGCTAGCCCATGTTTTGTCCTCACACAATCATACCTTGCTAGGGGAATAGCGGGCATACGGTAATCCTTCGTTATAACAAAGTCAAAGGGACTGCAAAAAAATTTGATGTAAGCGGTAATTCGATAAAACCGATGAAGCCAAAAAAACAATGCCAGCGGCCTTGAAGGTGGACGGGAACACTTCGGAACACTGACCATATATTTAATCAAACAAACCTTGGTTATGAGCATCTCGCAGCTGCTTTACCAAGTAAAAAAAATAATTAAGGGGAGTTTGCTGATAATTTCATCCGGGCATTAGTTCTCCTCGAACTGCTCCAGGCAGGCACGTAGCCAGAGGGGGGGGGGGGCCTGGACCCGCTTTTTTCCCCCTCCCCGATATCTTCCATTTTGTTGGGACCTCCTCTTCCCCTCCCCCTCATACAGCATTTTGTCATGGGTGGCCCCCCCCCGCCCGCCCCCCCCTTGAAACAAAATCCCGGCTACGTGCCTGGCTCCAGGCATCGCAAGAACACTGTCACTTCCGCTGCACTCCACTTTGTTTGGAAGCAGCCGCAGGATGTTTTGCGTCTCCGCAGTGGTCGGCGTTTCCCGAGGTGCCTCTCCGACGTCGCTTGGTGCATGCAATGTCTACGATCGCAGCATTCATGGCCGGAGCAACAATGGGAACGCCTGCATAGACAAGCTTGAACGAATCATAGTTATCCTTGGTGGATTTGCCAACTTGTTTTCACTCACTCCTGTAGAGATATTGCAGCTATGGAAATCGCGCGCCGGCTCGGCAAACATGTTCGCGAGACAAAATCCGACGTCCATGAAGCAATTGGCGATCTTTCATCTTCTGGTCGCGGGCGCGCTTTCTCCTGCATGAGAAACTTCTCGAACCCGTCCAACATGCCTTGCTTGTTTTGCAAAATGGTTGGCAGTGTCGAACAGCCGATGCCGGAATGTTGAATTCTTTGGCGATTTCGGACTCGGGCTGGCTACTTTTCTCAACCTCCCAGATCCAAGCGACATTTGGTATGCACTCCCAATCTCTTATATGACGCACGTGTGCATGTAGTACACCGCAGGTGCGCGCGTCGGGGCCTCCCGAAGGGATGATCTCCTCCGGGCTCCATCGCTCTCTTGACCCTGACGCTGATGCTACTCCAGCTGCTCCCTGCTCGTGTCCCCGTGTCGGCGCGTTGGTGTCAAAAGCGACACTCTGCCGGCTCTGTGTGCTGTGTCACCTGTTCACTCCATTTTCCCAGTTTGCTGTTTGCCTCGGTGGAGAAGGGGGGGGGGGGGGGGGGAAATGCAAGGGTCTCCGTGCGTTTCCGTGTAGGCTTGTATGCTTTTGGCACCCGGGCCTTCGTAATAAGTGTGGTTGGCCGCCGATACACTTTGAATAAGCCGGTTAAAAATGCTTGCATTTCGGTCAGGACCACGTTAAACTTCGATAGAGCGATAATTTGAAACCAGTGATTTCGTTTTTACGAGGGATTGCTGTACCTCTAACAAACGTGACAGTATGTACGGCGTATCTCTATACATCTTCCCTTTAAATGCCGGCCATCGACTGGGCTGGCTTCATACTCTTCCTTGCACTGCCATTGTGTGCATGTAGCTAGCCGAAACTGCGATGGGCTGGCCCTTCCCTGTGGCATCCCACAGTGGCTGAGCATAGGGTGCACGTCCGTTTCAGCGACGTGGGCATCTACGACCGCGTGGTGGTCCAGGAACTGCTCAAGACGGTGGCCCAGTCGCAGCAGCTTGAGGCAAACGCCCAGAGGGACTTCAAGGGTGAGCAGACGGTGCCATACCCGCGCGGCAACCGAGTGACGGCCGCCTGCGCCCCCCTCGCAGTGGTGCTTCTCGCCGAGGTGGACAAGCTGACCCGGGAGGCCCAGCACGCCCTGAGGCGCACCATGGAGAAGTACATGGCTAGCTGCCGCCTGATCCTGTGCTGCAATTCGTGCAGCAAGGTCATCCCGGCCATACGCAGCCGCTGCCTCGGTGTGCGGGTGGCTGCCCCTTCCCTCGATCAGGTGACGCCTCGCCACATCCTGGGAACACTGCCGGGACGTTAACGGGCTCTTACGCTAGGTGATGCAAACTATCATTTGAGACAAAGTTTATATTATAACCCCTGCTGTCCATCCACTTGGCGGCAGATGTTTCTAACGTCGCCTTTGGTGCCTATGCTGGCAATCGAACTACACTTATGGGAATATAATGCGAGCCGAGAGGGACACGTCAACACCTCCTGCGGTCGGTGACAGGTTAAGAATGCAGTAGAAGCTCCGTCTCCAGCACTCGCTCACTGCCTTTCTCCGGGCTTTGGCATGTGCGCCTAAAGGCTCTGTTATACTCCGACGTAGCGCGTGCGAGCGCGTCACAGCGACGTTACGTCGGCGTAAAACCGACGCTCTATACTCCGGCGTCGTGGCATAACCGGCGCGACCGGCGGCGTTTGACGCAGCCTGACCGCCTCGACGCCAAAATGGAGCATGCCGTATTCCGCGCCGGCGACGCCGGACCAGGATGCACCACGTGCTGGCTCCCGGCAGCCCTCGCGGCGAATACGAGCAATAGCAGACGATGGGAGCACCACTCCGTGTGGCGTCATGTTTGAAGAATCGGACGTCTCGGTCGTCGAGAGGCTGATCGAGGGAATTCGTCCTCACCCGAGTGTCTACGACTCGAGGAAGCTTGAGTACCGAAGACCGTGCGCTTGTCAAAGATGTATTGCATGTACGTTGACCACCGCCTACGCTTGCGGCGCATGCGGTGCACCAACAGTGCAAGCCCGAGTTTTCGTCGTGCAAGGTACGTCCATGCCATCGCTCGAACTCGGCGCTCAAGAAGCGCGAGAATTCTCGTCTGCTATTCGAAACGAAAAGGAACCGGAAATGGCGCACTCTCGCAGGAAACGCGCCCTCGTAGCCAGATTCTGCGCATGCGCCGCGCTGGCGGCCCACCGACGCGCGCCGCGGAAGTCGCCAAGGTTGCCGGAGTCTAGAGAGGGCGAACTTTTGACGCGCGCGGCATGACTGACGTGACGTAGCCGACTTCGGCCAGCGTTCGCTTGCGCGCGCGTTACGTCGGAGTATAACAGAGCCTTAAGTGTTACCATAGGCAGAAACCTCATGCTGCAGGCAGAGTATTTACTACATTCTTAAAAGGATACTGCAACGAAATTGTAGCACCTATTTTATTGTCTAAATGTCGTATTGTTACGTCAAACTCCCCATAAAAGCAGCGCTGCTCTGCGGAAGTACGGCTGCAAGCTGCGTGCAGCCGTACTTCCCAAATCTGATTTGGGCAAGTTGAACTTGCCCAAATCAGATTTGCTTTCTCTCCTGCGCCTATTCAACTTTTGCGGGGGTGGACATCTTGAAGAGCCAGGTTGTAACGCATTGACACCAGCAAGTGGCGAAGCTCGCAACTGCGTCGGCCTCCCTATAGCCTTGCCAGTGGAGGTGCTACGACGTACGGCAGACAAGGCATAGTAGGTTGTGAGCAGATTTTATTATCAGGCACGCATTTATATAGGCAGCCCGATGCTTCGGGTGCAGAAGAGAACGAAAGCGAAGGAAGCGTCTTGATTTCTTCGCTTTCTGAAATCGCAAAATGCTAAACAAACACGAACCACTCCTTCCGATTATGGCTACTCCTTTGCACATCATACGTCGGATTGTCGTTGTCTATCGAAAAGACTACGGGAGGCGCCTTATCTTTCTGGAATGGTCTATCGCTAGCACTGGCCTTATATACCAGATCTAGCCTTACCTGGTTTTCAAGCTACAATCTTGTGGCATTGCAACCATAGCAGCTCGATTGTATCGTTCAGTCTGGCACAATATGGCCTCCGGAGCTTTTGCGTCTTATTAAAGCCTCTATGGATAGATGGGTGGTAGGGGTTTTACCCATTGTATTGGGCGGTAGTTTGCACCACCTCGTGGGCAATGTTGCCGCAGGTGGCGGACGTGCTGCGCCTGGTGTGCCGCAAGGAAGGGCTGCAGCTTCCGGACGCCCTGGCCCAGTCGGTGGCTGCCCAGAGCGGACGGAACCTGAGGAGGGCCCTGCTGATGCTCGAGGCTTGCCGCGTCCAGCAGTGAGTACGCCCAGGCCATCTGAGGCTGTGGCGGCGTGTGGGGGCATCCTGCTTTTAGAACGGCAGAAACGGGCCAGCCCATTTCTCAAGGGCATTCTAAATCCGTAGCATTTACAGGGCCTCCTACTTTTGTGGGCGTAGTAAGGAGGTCGCTCGGGGGCACCTTGTAAAGACTTTGTGAGCATATAAACCATCACATTGTCAGTGAGCTCATGATGTCATGTGACGTCAAGGTGTCGCATGACGTTACTTCACTCGACGTCATGGTATCAGGTGACTGTCGCATGTCGCTGACATCACTGAGGCCACATGCCGTAGACAGAAAGTCCCCAAAAGGCATTTAAAAGGCTCGAGACGACTGTGTACTGAAACCTGCAGCCATGCCGGTGGCTGCTGTTGCCACGTTTTCAAATTATCCAGGTAAAGAGGTTTAGCCTTTGAATTGAGGCACAAAATTTTGCCAAAATGCATTAAGTAATGCACCATTGTTACCTCTAAACAAATAAAAGAGCAGAGTACCATGGGGTTAATGTGGCGCAGATAGATCCCGGTCGTGTCCTTACCGAGTTCTGTCGCCGACGAAATCAATTGCCATGCTCGTGCATCTCATCAATGCTGAAAACGACGCCAATAACTAATCGCCCACATGCAAATTTAATTGGCGAAGTGGTGGATGTTCACGAACACGGCTTATCGTAAGCGAAAAGACGTTTTGTGAAACCGTCCTACAGCGGGCGAATTCCCCCTCGCGTGCAGGTACCCATTCTCGGCAACGCAGGAGGTCCGGCGTCCGGACTGGGAGGTCTTCTTGGCAGCCACTGCCCACATGGTGGTGCAAGAGCAGAGCCCCAAAAGGTGGGCTTTCCCTCGCACACGTGCCGGCCTGGGCCGGTTCCGACGGTTGCGCTTATGGCTCTTTCGATCCAGTCAGTGCATCGGAAGACGCATACCTCACTAGTTGCATGCAGTGCTCAGGGGTGTGACATCTGCGCCAATTGCGCCATTTTGATACAGACCCAATTTTTTGCACCTAGTTGCGCCAAAAACGCGAAATCGGTCGAAATTGCGCCACACTGCGCCAAAGTAACTAAAAAACTGAAAATAAAAGTTTGCGGCGACGCTAGATTTAGCAGGAAATGAGAGCTTGGTTGGCATCGTTCAATCTGGTCGTAGTAATATACAATGCACGGGTACAGGGTGGAGCAAGCGACCACCGGATTCGAGGATTTCAGCTGTTGTACCCTCCTATACCTATGGGATGTCTTTTCCCGCGTTCCCTTCTACTTTCCGCTGTCATTTGTGACTGCATGCTAATGGTGCGCTGTCACGCGGCCTCGCTGTCTGGCCGCGGGATGTACGACGCACAGGCTGTCAGGATGAGCAAACCTAAGTATTTCTTTCGCTTTGAGAGTAAACCTTTTCTTAAAAGTACTATTGAGTGCCTCCATTATGTAATTGTTCATTCGTGTCCATAATCTCGTCAAAATGGACGTCGCCGTTGCCGTCAGTACTTTCGGTTATCACACACGTGCTTCCAGTGCTTGAGCAATCGAATGAATCAGTCACACACCCGTATTTAGCGTGCATGTGGTGCTCTTAGGTTTTCTACCAATTCACGATTTACCTTGTGAATCACTTTTGTGGGGAGCATTTTTCTATCTGCACGTGCTTTCTACGAGCGTCTGATCAATGTCTGGTTGTAGTAAACTGTGCTTCCCTGTTCATGCTCTCGAATCACCGCTTTAAAAAGTTTTGCACTACAATTGCGCTTTGGCACCAGTTCGTATAAGCTTGAGGTACCTGGTGCCCACCTAACTTTGCAGCGAGCCTGTGTTTCCTTTCCTCATCTATGTGTGCATGAAACTCGCGTTTGCTTTTTCCGTTTTTTTTTTTCTTTTATATTTTATCTCAGTACGTATCGGCGCTGATGACTTGTTGGAACCAGGCTGGACAAAAATAATGATTAAAAAAGAAAAATCTGATTTATGTGAATTATGTAAGATTTTTTATGATTTAAATTTCTGATAAGCTGCTCTAAGATTTTCTGCTCCTAATCTGCTCCAAACAGTAGACTTTTGTGCTTCGAAGTTGCTCCAAAATGCGTAAACTGCTGCTCCAAAACGAGACTTTTGTGCTCCTAAGCTGCTCCAAAATCCAGATTTTTCTGCTCCAAAACCTGTTTCACCTGTCTCACCCCCGAGTGCTGTCAAAGCCGCGGGTGGACGAGAGAGCAAAGCCACCTTTGGACGAATTTTAAGCGACAGGCTAATTTCTGAGAGGGACAACAGCGACATCTGCAACACAAAGGAGAGGGTCCGGGTTAAAGGAGAGCTCTTGACCCCTTTACCTCTGGTAAGGCCTGTCGCATGGTTCACCTCCGTTGCTGTGATTGGCTCCAGGGGGCTGTGGCATTCACTCTCTGCTGAGTTATGGCGAAACGAAGCACAGAAACAACTGCGAGACGGTTCCCACGGTGTTCGTTTCCTTAGCCGCATGTGCAGTCTAAGCTCATTATAACAGACCTTGATTTTGACCAAGATTTTGGTCTGTTGTAAGAGGAGTATTGTTGTATGGAGATGTGAAGTTGAGTCAATAGTATATGTAGAGAAAAACCAACCGAACTTCACAAATCGGTATGTTATATCCATACGTCTGTTGTAACCAGGTCTGTCCTAATGAGCTTAGACTGTGGCGGGAATCGCCGCACGAAGTTGCGGGGCTCTGCTTGCTGTGGGAAGCCCAAAGGGGGCAGCCTGACCGGGGCCTTCTCCCGCATGCAGGCTCTTCGAGGTGAGGGGCCGGCTGTACGAATTGCTCACGCACCTGATTCCCCCGGACGTCATCTTCAAGGTGGGTCGCTGTCCTCCTCGAGCGTTCTCCCAATTTAGGGGCCACTTTGGAACGTCCGGCGCTACGGCCGTGCGCAACCGTAAAGACGCGGTCACATCGCCAATGTGTCGTACGAGAGAAGGTCTGCGGACTGTGTCCGAGGCGTGTTCCTTCATCGTACCACGGTCCTGTCACGCCGGTTGTACAAAGCTATCTGCGGACATCTCTGAAGCGTGCGCACGTACGAAGCAAATGTGCTCGAGGCCGTTCGGTAGACAGATCCTACTGTTTTCATTCTGTCGGTGATTGTGGCTAAAGTGTGCGTCATTCCGACTGAAGGCTTCTGCACTGCTTTAATGGAGCAATGCCAAGTGGGCTCCCTTCGTTCGAGGCAGAGGGGACGGGTGTTCTTTGGCAAGTGTCGGAACTCCTGGCTCGGCTTTTGCGGTGGGAACCTGTTGAAACTTCAGTCTCGCCATACCTTTCCGGTCCGATATGCCTTTAATTGGAAAAGCCCTAGTTGATTCTAGACTTTGAGGGCCTTGCCATTCGAATTTCCCGGGTGCATTTAAGAAGGCGAAAGATCTTTACGAGGAATGGTCCGACGTCGGGGCAGAGATTTGGCACAAGCCCAGGTCGTGCGAAGGCAGAACTTGGTGTGATTTCGAATACCGGTGGAGGGGCGAGCGCAGCAACGCCAGAGCGGCTCTGCCGGCAGTCTTTTGCTCATAAATGAAGTGCGAATAGTGTCGGCTCCTCCTTTTACCAAGATTAATATAGTAATTTGCCGCAAATGTACCGCGATGTGAAAAGGGATGTATGTGACCCTGTCTTTAATATTTTATGATGGCCTAAATTTGTTGCGAGTTTTGTAACTAAACTAAGCTAACTTTAAGTTTCATGTTGTGGTTATCTTTTGAGTCCTCGGACGTGTGCGTCTCTTGTTTGCGTGAGATGCTTAATCGAGTTTCGTAATATGTAGTGTGCTGGAAATTTTTTAGATTTAAACGGTGCAACACTGTTCAACACAACATTGGTGCTTCGTGAAAGGGTGGGCACCAAGTTTTAGCGTATAGTACACTACTGCTCAAAGTGAGACTCAGTAGTTGTTGACGACATCCTTTTGGTTCCGACGGAAAAACGAAAACACTGGTGATTGCTTGTTTGTGCTAACATTATTGGGTCCTTTATTGGCAAGAGGATAAAACACTTGTTTGAGAATCTTAAATTCTCTCCATAGCATGTGCACTCTGACCCAGTTCACTGCGCACAAACCACAAGTCAATGGCGCTTGTCTCAAAAGTTTGGAGCGACTCCCTTTGCCTCGCAAAATAGACCAACCTCACGGTCACTGGTAGAGAACAGACTCCACCAGGGAAGGGATTCTCCAGGACGAGCAGCCGTGTAGAACTGTTAGCCACCGAGGCGACTACATTGCCCTTTTGAACTAGCAAGGAAACAGTATAACCTTTGAGTGGGTGATCAGGAAAGGACCACTCTAAGGCGTGGGACAACTAAATGAGCATTCTGTACATTTCTACCGCTACTGCAATACTGGAACATACAGGAAAGGTTGGGCACACGTGTACCTAGCATCGCAAAGTACCCCGGGTCTTGGCGGAAGGACGAGAAGTACCTCTGGAACAATCTGTGTGAGAGAAAATGTACCGGTGCACCGAGGCACTTGCATCACAGTCTGGCTCATAAGACTAAAGTGTCTAAAATACGTCTCCGACCGCATTCCAAAATGTGGTCCCTCAGTTTTCGCCTAACATCATCGCAGAAGCGTCATGCTGTCGTCTGCTGCGATCCCGGTAGTGGCACGGTACCGGAGGTGGATGTGGCAGGCGACCGTTCCACCGCAGGTCGGAACAGCTGTCTGCCACACTTACCTCCAGGAGTTGGGATGCCGTGAAGACGGCAACATTTTCGCTTGCACGTTTTGCCGAAACTTCTGTAACCAACCGGTTGGGCCACAACGTTCGGCAACCCGCCGTGCCAACATCCGCGACGTCTTTTGTTGCTGCTCGAGGACCACTTTTGGTGCATGGGCGGGATGGGACGCTAAATGCACCAATCGAGGATGAGTTCTGGGCACCATAGCCGGACTCTCGGGAGGCTTCGTCTGACTGAGGACGCTGTCGAAAGCACTAATGCCGTTTGAGGCTGGGGAAGGCACGTGGCACGTGGCACGTCCAGATGGGTGTCCGTTGCAGTAATGGCTGCCACAACCGTCTTCTTCCTTTCAGGGCCTGGTGCGTGGGATCTCTTCGAGCTGTGACGGCCAGCTGCGCTGCGCCCTGGTGTCGGAGGCGGCGCGCTACGAGCACCGGCTGCAGCTGGGCTCCAAGGCCGTTTACCACCTAGAGGCCTTTGTGGCGCGGGCCATGGCCATGTACAGGGACTTCCTTGAGGAGGCTGCGGGGGTGCTGTAGTAAATCGAAGGAGGGAGGGCCGGCACACTTGCTTCCGCCCGTCTCATTGGGCGGGGCACAGCTCCACGATGCCAAGCTCCGATTAAAGGATGCGATGGGCGGAGCACATCTCCAGGATGCTGAGCTCTGATTGGACGATGTGGGTAGACGCGAAGGGCAGAAATTATTCCGCTCCTTCTTTAGAGGGTGCAGTGACGTAATGCTCCGATTGGAGGGAACTTCTGTACCTTGCGCAGAAGATAATGGTGCGAACAGTACGAGCAGGTAGTCCTTCCTGGTTCTTTGGCCTACCTGCCAGTTTTCGAGATGGTTGCACACTAGTTGTGGGGCCGCAGACGCCGAAAAAGGCAGGATCAAGTGTTTTGGCTCGTACTGTCTGGGGGTGTATTGGCACCGAGTTCCGATTGGAGGATATAGTGGGTAGACGGATACGAGTGGAAGTTTCCTCTGCGGGGCAGTCTAATAAAAATGAAAGGGACGTCAACACGCGCATCCGTCCGTCTCATTGGGCGGGGCACAACTGGGGGCCGGCCGAAAAAGCGTCGCCCCACGCCTCCTTCGTGGGTTCGGGGGCCAAGCGGGCAATCGCCTCGCGTGCCCCTGCGTGTCCCCCGTGGGCAGCCCTGCTGTACTGGCGCAGGGCGTGGCCGGGGTCCTTGGGCACTCCCAGGCCCCGTTCGCTGCACAGTCCCAGGTAGAAGAGGGCGTCCGCATCCTGCAAAACAGACAAAACGTCCTTCCGGATCCCCGCGACAAACCATAGGTTCCAACGTCGGTGGTACTGAGAGAAAGGAAAGAAGAGAGCGAAAGAAGAATGCAAAAAAGAAATATGACATCAGGTGCAGTAATTTTTCTTCGTAAAATTTATGATGACGGTGCTTGATTCTGATATAAAACTATAGTACTGGCTTGCATGTGGTGATTTGCTGGTGTTTCACGTTTATTAAAGCCCCACCAACCATCCAGACCTGCCGGTACCACCGACGTCCACCTCCGTGTGCCGCCATTTGGAGGCAACGAATTGCACGGTGGGCCGTTTCCACAAGATTTATTATGTGAACACGCTTACCTGAGCTTGGGCGGCCCGGGAGAGCAGGCCCACAGCTTCCGAGAAACGACCCTCCTGCAGCCGTACGTAGCCAACGAATGCCTGGGCCTGCGAGGCAACACGCTCGTTGGTACTTGTGGCCAACGGTGTGCCATTCTTTTTTCTCTATCTCATAAGGACTGTTCACACACTTCCGTTTGACTATGACCGAGTGAGACAAGACCGGTTTTTAAGCCGCTTACGACTGGCTGCATTGCTGCGCAGCCGGTTGCAAGAGGCTTAAAAACCGGTCTTGTCTTACTTGGTCGAAGTCAAATGCAAATGTGTGAACGGGCCTTTATAGCAGTAGCCGTTAGTGCATCTTTCCGGCAAAAATATGGCAATGTTTGGTGCTCCGCCCTACGACGTGCTCTCACCTGGGCGACCCCGAGGTCTGCAGCCGTCTGGAGGAGCTGCAGGCCCCTGTGGTCCTGCTGCTGGTGGAGCAGCAGCCCCAGGTTGTATGTGGCCATGGGGTGGCCTCGCAGGGCAGCCTCCCTGTAGTGCTCCAAGGCCTGCACAAAGGGGGACACGAGCCGTGCTTAGCATCCCCGACCGACCGCTGCCCATCGAGCTCCGGCAAGACGCGCGAATTCTTGCCACGCGGTATGCATGCGCTCGAAAGCACCTTGTTTCTGTCTGGCGCCAGGCCCCCTCGTCCGTCCTGGTAGCAGATGCCAAGGTTATAATGGGCCCTCGCAGAGTCCGGGGCCCTCTGGAAGCAGGCGATGCTGCCTGCTGTGTCCCCTCGTGCCAGCAGCCGTGCCGCCTCGCACTCCTCAAGCAGGGACAGGTACTCGCGGAGCGCAGACGACATCTCCTCATCGGGACTTCTGGGCGACGCGCTCTCGGCAGCCGCGCCGCTCTCCGGCAGGACGGACTTCACGGCCGGAGACGCTGACGCCAGCCGGAATACGACGCTCTGCAGCAGGCCGCATAAGCCCGCCTTGCGGGAGGTCTCCTCCGGCCTGTCGTTGTTGTTGCGCCACAGCCGAGAGTGCAGTTGCACGTTCAGTCCCACGGCGAGTCCCTGCGGTGGCGGCGGAGAGTTCGCATCCGAGCTTTTCCGACACAGCGGTCCGCGTGCACTCACCACCCAGCCGACCGCCTCGGCGAAGCGGCATTCGGGTCGTCGGGTGAAGCATCGCCCTTCCTCGTGGCAGGTCTCCTTGCGCCGGTCGTCGCGGTCGCCCCGACGGTCCTCCGCCGGTGAGGCGACGAGCCTGCGATCGCGAGCCCAATTACGATCACCCCGACGGCGGGCTGACGGACAACGCACCTTTCGGCGTGCTCGGCCTGCTGCCCCGGTGGCCGCTGACGAAGGCCCCAGCGGGCGAAAGCTGGACGAGAGAATGCATCGCTGTCAGGAGTGTCGCTGCCTCGGATTGCATTGATCGACCTGCTGATCGCCTATGAAAGAACTCACCTCTGAGATTGTGACGCCACATCTGTCGAAGTTCTCGTGCACGGCGAACGACCGGCAAGAGGTGTACACACTCGCACACGCGAAGTTACCTGTTAATTTTAGGGACTTGATCGATTCTAGGCTGCGGTAGTCCTGGGGGACTGCAGCTCCACGAAGTAGTAGGGTCGCAGGGCACGGGTGAACCGCAACGTCGTGCGGCTGCGCTCCTCGCCGTTACCTACGTTCACGCCAAGGAGGTAATCATGAGGTATCTGAACCACGACCTAACGTTCGTGATTCACAACGTTGACACACACCAAATCACTACATAAACGAAAGAAGTTCAACACACACGGACAGCACGGACACAAACAAGTCTCCGCACGGACGAGAGCAGCGCTAGATCAGACTCTGCTCTGATCCTGCTCTGATCAGACCATATCAGACCAATAGATAGCCCGATTTGACGCTGCTCGTTCAATCCAGTCAGGCGGTATTTTGCGCCACCTAACCTAAGTTATTTTTAACATACACTTTTGCCACCAGAGCCGTGTATCACGGCTCTGCCGTGTATCCATCCATCCATCTATAGCCCCAGCTGGCACGCTTCGCGCGCGCGTTTCAGCGGTTTCGTTTAACGCTAGTCCGCTTTCCGTCTGACTGTTCCTTAAATGTTACTGTTTCTGGTAATAATTGGGACGATTTCATTCACCCGGACATGCTCCTCTATGCCCACAGTTGAGCACAAGACCCTGGCTTTGCTGGCGGCATGGACGAAGAGTGGCAAGACGACTCCCTGCTGTCTTCGGCCATCGAGCGGATCGAGCGGAGAGAGGCGCTCTCGCCGTTGCCTGGAGCGGGCAAGTCAGACTTGTTCAGTTGGCGGTTCAGTTCCGTCGGTTGTCATAATGTTCCCTCGCACTCAAGAAGTGATCCTAGAGAATCACGAAGGGAGTTTGCTCCAACGCTAGTCCGTTCTAAGGCATGAAACCTCTGGACACTGTGTCTTTCCAAAGCCCGACCTCCTGCACGCGCGCTTGCCTCCGAAATCTATGCAGCCGACCGATACGCATGCATTTCAACGACGGGACATCAAGGGGAAGGGTAGGAAGAGGGAAATGGGGAAAAAAGAGGGGGAGGGGGTGAGGGGCATAGCGAAGCAGAAAGAAAATAAAAATACACTTTTCTGTAGCTTGTAGTTGGTGCTTGTGTACTAGTACACAAGCACCTTTTCTATTCCGCAAAACTTAAGCATACCAAACAGTAATATAGGTAAGTGCTCTGTACAAACGTCTGTGCGAACAAAACTTATTGGCAAGTGGAGTCACAGAAAAAAAAAAGCTATAAATCATACATTATTGGAGATCACATTTTTATATACTATGTTTATTCTAATACACTGCCACAATCGAGTAATAATTTCAATTGTTTTCCTTCATTCGCCTGTCATTTATTTCCCAAACAATAAGTTCCCACGGAAACGGGATAGCTGTACACATTCACAGGTTCGGCCTCCGGGCACTGCCATCTTGCTCAGTTGGGGTGCACTTGGATGCATCATAATCCGATTACGAAGCCTTGCTAAGGTGTCATAATTGGATTATGGCTGCACCCAAGCGCACCCCAATTGAGCAAGATGGCGGCACCCTGAGGCCAGACTTGCAAACATGTCAAGACTAAATGACAGGATGGTAAATGAAGTTCTAAAATGGGACTGTCCCGGCCAAAACGGGACGTTTGGTCACCCTACCCACACCCCACGTCTTGGACATTCCAGCCACCTCAACCACCACCTGCCACCCCCCCCCCCCCCCCTCCCCCTCCTCCTCCGATAAAAATTTCTGGCTATGCCACTGCAAGACGACGAAGTGTTGTTGAAGGTAGGAAGCTCACGCTGGAAGCATGATGCTTGAAACACCTACTTGCAGATCTCATTTTGTTGACGAGAGCCACTTAAGCTTTGGGTCCCCCAAACAACTTGGTGCTTTGCACTGCACATGCGTAGAAGCTCTGCGCATGTGCAGTGCAACGCCCCAAACACACTATTACATGAACTCTACGGCCCCAAGTGACGATGCGTGCCACCCTACCAGGGAGCCTCGATGTCCGCTGGGGGGAGACTTCCCTGCGGAGCTCCCCAACGTGCTCGCTGCTCAACCGGATCAAGGAGAAGCTGCGGGAGAACACGCGACGCTCCCTGAACCTTTCGCTGAGCCCCGGGGTCGAGGCCTTTCCCCAGGACTTCTTTGGCCTGCCCCCTATGGTACAGGGCCTGCTCAAGCTGCACCGGGGCATCACGGACCTGTACGGTACGCACCCTGCTCGGCCCCACGGGGAGTCCAGCATCGGAAAAGGGGGTCGCACACGGAGGCAAACGACGGGGCGTGACGAGGTGTAGTTAGAGGGCCTAAACTTATGGAAGGGGGCAACTCAAACCATGAATGATACTTGCAATTTAATGAAGGACACTTTTTGCACAGATTGGTTGCCTTTGCGCTTGCACGCATCACTGCGTAGCAAGAAGGATGGTGGGCTGAGAGACTGAGCAAAGCTTATTTATTAGACATATTTATTTATAGATACTATGTCTCCAGTTGGAGATTTTGAGACCAAAGCAATAACAAAAACGGCTTGACATAACAAGAATAACAATTTAATTAAAGTTTCGCCTCCCATGTGCGAGGGGAGACATGTTCAGTAAGGCAAAGAGCAAAATGAGAGAGGCATTCCAAAGTTCAACTATTTACTCATAAAGTTTGTACACAGATCCGGCAGGGGTCCATGGATTTTGTTCACCAACGAAAAGTCACTCTCGCGTTGGTCACTCCGAATGAACAAAGACCCAATGGCTTTGTCAGTCCCCACCTTCTCTTCTTCACCAGGGTCGATGCATTGTCAGAGTCAAAGGTGTGGCCTGTGGTTCATGCGATTGACATTTTCGCCTCCTCCTCGAAGCGATCAAACGTTTTGCAACTGATGCGTTTACCATCGTCTTCTGCCCATGCATTGAAAGTGGCCCCAAATCGGCAACAAATGACGTCATGAGGCTGGAGTGTTATGCTGTTTAATGTCGCAATGCTGGCAGTTGGACGCGAAAGTTCTAGTAAAAAATTGGCTCTGGCAGGCAGGCAGGCGGTGTCCCAATCTTCCTCCTGCCGAAGCTTCCGTGGACTGTCAAACTAGAGAGCAACCTACGGCAGAACAGGCGTCTGCCCCATTTACCACCGCTGCTGCGATACCTCTGGGGTTGTGGCCAGCGAAACCATGACACTTGTATGATGTCATCAAGCGGGAATCGAGGGACCAGCTGTTAGGGCGCGCTTAACTCACCAGACAGATACGTGTTCCAGGCACTATACAGAGATGGACGCGTGTCTGCAGACTTCCAGAAGGTAGTTGCTGCTACGATTGTTGTAGAGATCACTAAGTGTGAGTCTTGCACCATCTGCCAGTGACACGAGACGGCAAATTAGTGCTGCATCGCGATCATGCACCCAAACGGACGCACGTCCGCAGATTGGCAGAAGGAGTGCCTGCAGCTGGCCCAGCGCAGTGGCCGACGCCACCTGGTGTACTCGCTGCCCACCAGCGGCGGCAAGACCCTGGTGGCCGAGGTGCTGTCCCTCCAGGAACTGCTTCTGGCCAGCCGCAGCGTGCTCTTCGTGCTGCCCTACGTGTCCCTGGTCCAGGAGAAAGTCCGTGACCTGTCGCCCCTGGCCGTGGACCTGGGGTTCCTGGTGGAAGAGTATGCGGGGGCCCGGGGTGCCCTGCCCCCTGTGCGCCGCCGCCAGCGCTGCGCCGTCTACGTGGCCACCATCGAGAAGGCACACTTCCTCGTGGACGCCCTCACGGAGCTCGGCAGGCTTTCCGAGCTGGGACTCCTGGTTGTGGACGAGGTGGGCCTTCCTGCACGTGAGGGAGGGGGAGCGACCATCACAGGCAGGAGTCTGATTTTGGTCACCGCGAGGGCTAGAGCGAGACCTCACATGCCTCTCGTGGAGCGAGGGAAGATTTCATTCGTAGATGGTTCATCTGTTAACGCGAGCAAAAAATGCTGTCCGTCTACTACGAAGTGCCATTCGCAGACGAGGAAACGCCGTACGTCGTCTGCTAACGGACTGAAAAGAAAGTTGATGGTCGGCTACGAACTAAGCGCCGTGGTGAAGTGAGATCATCATCATCCGCTATTTTATGTTGGAAGCCATTGACAACTAATTATGTTGTCTCCAAGGCACCACAGATGACACGCAGAAAGTGCACTCTGTGCGTGCGTGCAAGTGGCTCGCGTAAGGCGCGGAACACATACTAGCTGCTCCCCAAGCCATCTGCGGTGGCTTGGAGCGCAGTGAGGATGTTCCATCAGAGCAGGTTTGTATCGTGCTATCCTTATATAGAAGAGTCTATTTCCTAAGGCCCTTTTGTACCTTGCCTGTACCTTAGAGAACGGGTTCTCAAACTTTTTGATCTTGAGGAACGCCATTCATCGAGACTGATATCCAAGGAATTTCTTCTGGCCTCGGCATTGATGCAGTAAACACTGTGAGCCTTTAGTCCATACAAGAAGTAATGCACATAATAGGAAGTATTCTGGCTCATAGTTGTGAATCATTGGCTGACCCAAATCTGCAAAAACAGTGCGTAAACAGGAAAAAAACATTTAATTTAGGGACAAGGAGGGTCAAAGAAATTTGCGAGCTCGGGGAACACAAGTGGGTACCGTGGGGAACACAGAAGGGTACCTTGGGAAACCCCAGTGTTCCTAGGAACCCATGTTTAAGAACCTGTGCCTCAGGTGGATGGTTCTGGAATCTACATTGAACGCCGAATGTTTTTTAAAGTTTGTTGTGGGGAGGCTTCAACAGCCCGAAGTGTGCGCGTGCCTTGTGACACGGTTGTTCTGTGAGCCTCTGCCCCCTCTCATGGCGCAGCTGCATATGCTGGGGGACGGAAGCAGCAGGGGAGCTACCCTGGAGAGCACCCTGGTCAAGGTCAAGAGGGTCTCTGGTACGCACCACGGCCTTGATTGCGGCACCAGACTTGGTTCTTATTTAAACATTACTGTCCAGACCGGTTATAACGAAATCAACGGAAATCGGAAATCACTTCGCTATATCCGCTATTTCATTATAACCGACTTCGGTTTAAACGAAGTGCAGAGGGAATGAGAAATCGTGATCGCTTCGCTGTAGCCGCTATTTCGTTATAACCGACTTTGGTATAACCGGTCTCGACAGTAATGCACCGAGAAACTGACGGAGAGGAGGAGACGAGAGCGTGTGGGGACATTGGAATGCCGAGCTCTGGTTGGAATAATTAATGGGTAGACCTAAAGCTAGCTGCCTTTGTCTCCATTGCACTCATTGAATGATTAGCTGCCCACCAATCATTCGAACCAGAGCTCGGCATTCTGACCTCCCCGTGTGCTCTCATCTCCTTCTCTCCCTTGGTTTCTCGGCACATATATTCGACAGAATAGGAGATGGGAGGGGACTGAGATTCGTAATAAGCTCCAACCACAGTGGATCGCTGAGTTCATGTACTCATAACTGTGCCCCACTCATGCAGTTGTGACAAACTCTGAAGCACTCGTGCTGCAGTCTTAACTCTGTGTCTGCCTCGGAGGCTGGCGCACATGTTAGTCCTCCGGCTCTTCTCCTCTACCCACTCCCAAGTGTGGTTCACCCGGAAACCCTCAGCCTCCTTTCTCTTTGCTGGTTGTGAGGGTGCTGGGATTTTCACTACAGAAACGCAGAATACGGCTACACCGTGGCTAAATCGTACGTTCGAAATTAGAATTTTCTGAGGCATGCCAAACGTGCAGGTTCTTAGGTCCGCACCCCGTACATGACTTACGAGTCTGCACGGTTTCTTCTGAGTTGTGCCGCGAGCGTTCACGACGTCCCACGCAGGAAGCACCCGGATCGTGGGCATGAGCGCCACGCTCGGCAACATGGAGGACCTGACGACCTTCCTCGGTGCGGACGTCTTCGTGGGCTCCTTCCGACCGGTCGGTGGTCTTGCTGCCGCCTCGGGTACCATGGCAGGAACGTGTCTCCTGCCGGCGCGTTTACTGCATCCTAAAATGTGGTCCCTCGATTTCTGCCTGAGGATGTCGCAGAGGGGTTGTGCCATCGCCAACCGCGATCTTAGCAGTGTTACTGCAGCAGGGCTGTCAAACTCTTCAGCTTGACAGTCCATGGAGGCATCAACAGCGAGGAGTTCGGACCACGTGATGACGGTGACACTTGCGTTCGCTCCTACTTTTCGCCGAGACTAGCACCTACCGGCGGGGTCGCGTCGTTTGACAGCATGAGACGCCGGCTTCTGCGACGTCATTTGCTGCCACTTCGGGACGTCTTTAGACGCGGGGATGGGATGGAGCGCTAGACGTGCCAGCCAAAGACACGTTCTGGGCACCGTACCGGGACGCCTCGCGTCGTGAACCGGACGACGACGGTTCCGTTTGACCATCGCAGGTGGAGCTTCGGGAGTATGTGAAGGTAGACAACTCGGTTGTGGAGCTGGTGGGGGGCGAGTTTCAGCAGCAGACAGCCCGTGCCCTGCCCAAGGTAAGTGTGGGGCTCTTGGATGGGAATCCGTATTGTTTCGTCGAAAAACGTTTCGTGAACAAGTTTTCTTGGACATACGTTTCGTCGACGACGCAGTGATTCGTGGAAACTCGTTTCATAGACACGTGTACCCGCGACGTTTCGTCGACGACATGTGTTTTTTTACTAAGTAGATTGGATTACTGGCTTCATTTAGTTTTCTGGAATCATACCAGAACTAAGGTGAACTTACCCAGACAGCTCCAACAAGGCAAAAACGAATTCCCGAGCCCTAATCCTGGGCGTTCAAACAGTCCACGCTACGTGTTCACTTTACTCCCTCCTCTCTAATTTAAAACATCTGGAGCCTCTGGCCTTCAAGCCTCCCACAAAGGACTGGAGAGAGCCAATCGCAGCAATCTACGGAGGGCGTTCGGCGAATGACAAGGCTGGTAATATGTTTGGACCCCAAGAAATGTTCCGTGCTGTAGCACCAAGTACAGGAAAATGTCACGCTCAGATCCACGGCGCAGACTTTTTTTTTTAGGTTGCAACGTAATATCATTTTTGTCATTCACCGAGCTCCCTTCGTAGATTGCAGCGATTGGTTCTCCCAATTGCCCTGTGGGAGAGCAGACGCTCCAGATACCACGAAGTGAAGGGTTTGGCAAGCCAGGCTACCGTCCGGATGCTGGTGACTGAGGCGCGTGGAAAGACACTTTCTACGACACGTCGCAAAGTCTGTCAATGAAACATTTGTAAAAACCTTTAGATGAAACGAGCCGCCGATGAAACGATGAACGAACTGTCGATGAAATGTTGCAACGTCAATGAAATTATCCGTCGACGAAGCATGGTTTGAAGAACTGATTGCCACCGCCGCGCCCCAGGGTTCCCCTGAAGACCCCGAGCATCTGTCGCTGCTGGTCGGAGAGGTGGTCCCGCAGCACGCCTGCCTCATCTTCTGCCCCACCAAGAAAAACTGCGAGAGCGTCGCCTTGCTCCTCTCGCGCTCCCTGCCCAGGTATTTACTAAATGCTCGGCGTTTATAGAACCAGACTCTGGGACCTCGTATCCGTGGCATATAGCCTCAACGTCACAGTGTCATTTGACATCGTGAAGAGACGGGAAACTATGGTGTCACGTGACCTTAATTGAGAGTCACGTTATGCCATAATCGGCCAAAGCTTTCCAAATAAATGCAAAATTATATATATATATATAAAAAAAAATGGGTCGAGCATTGTTTTAATTTTTTGCTTCATATGGGCAGCCGCGTGCATTGCTAACTCCGCCATGCATGTGGCGATACAGTAATTCCTCGTTATACCGAGTACAACGGGACTGGAAAAAAATTTGATATAAGCGGTAATTTTATAAAAGCGATCGATCCACAAAAAACAGTGAACAGGAACATTGCGGAACACTCTGGCCGTATATTTAATTTAACAAACCTTCGTTATGAACATCTCGCGGCAGCTTTACTGAGTAAAAAAAACAATTAAGTGAAGTTTGCCGATAATTTCATCTGAGCATCAGTTTTCCTCGAGCTGCTCCAGGCATTGCAAGAACACTGTCACTGCACCGTACTCCACTTTGTTTCGAAGCAGTCGTGGGATGTCTTGTGTCTCCGCAGTCGTCGGCGTTACCCAAGGTGCCTCTCTGACGTCGCTTTATGTTTACCCTGGTTGCACTCAAGGTTTAGTGCAGCATCTGTGGCGGGAGCAACAACGAGAAGGTCTGCATGGACAAGCGCGAACCAATCAAAGTTATTGTCAGTGCCTTTGCCAACATGTTTTCACACACTCCTGTAGAGATCGTTGCAGCTCTGGGATTGTGCGCCGGCTCGGCAAGCATATGCTCGCGAGAGAAAATCTGACGTTCGCAAAGCAGTAGGCGATATTTCCCCTTCGGGTCGCGTACGCGCTTTCCCTTGCATGAGAAGCTTCTCGAACCTGTCTAATATGCCTTGCTTGTTCTGCAAAATGGTGGACAGTGTCAAACAACCGATGCTGGAATGTCTTTGGCGATTTTGAACTTGGGCCGGCCACTTTCCTCAACATCGCAGATCTAAGTGACGTTCGGTAAACACTCCCAATCTCCCATGTGACACACATGTGCGTGCAGTATGCCGCAGGCGCGCACGTGGGGGCTCCTGAAGGGATGATCTCCTTTGGGCTCCATCGTTCCCTCGACCCGATTCCAACAGGAGTCTGGCAGTGTTGGCCGTGGGCGCTATGAGTAGTGTGGGAACATGGACGCTGCTCCCACTGCTCTCTGCCAGCATCTTCGCGTCGGTGCATCGGCATCAGAAGCGTCACTCTGCGTGCTCTGCTCTCCGCCACCCGTTTATACTCCGTTTTCTTTTTTGCCGCTTTCTCAGTTTGCCGTTTGCCTCGGTGGAGAAGGGGGAGGTAACGCAAGGGCATCTGTGCACCTCCATGCAGGCTTGCATGCTTTCGGCACTGCGGCCTTCGTAATAAGCCTGTTTGGCCGCCTATACACTGAGAATAATCTGGTTAAAAATGCAAGCATTTCGGTCGGGACCACGTTGATCTTCGATAAAAGCGACTTCGTTATAACGAAACATTTATAACGTTATAACATGTTAGAAAAAAAATAACACCACTCAAAGACGTGTTGAAAGCACCGTTGGGGTCATGTGGACGGCAGATGCATTGCATTTCTGGCAGGGCACTCAAGGAGCACCGGGGCCCAGAGAAGGAGTCCCTGTTGAAGGCCCTGCGGGCAGAGTGCGGAGGCCGGTTGTGCCGGGTACTGCGCCACACGGTGCCCCTGGGGGTGGCCTACCACCACAGTGGGCTTACCCTGGAGGAGCGGAGGCTGCTCGAAGAGGCCTACTCCTCGGGTGTGCTCTGCTGCCTCGCCTGTACCTCCACCCTGGCCGCAGGGGTCAACCTGCCAGCCAAGAGGTAAGTGCCTCCCAATGGCATCACTAGGGTCAGTGGCACCCGGGGCGGTGGCCCCCCCTGTGACACCTCCCACTCGTTGCACGCCGCAACACCCCACCCCTGCCCTCTCATGGCCTATTGCAACACCTCCACCTTTCACTGCCCAGCTGCACCCCCTAAGCGCTGCACCTGGGTTGGTCAGCTGCCCAGCCCCCCCTAGTGACGCCACTGGTCTCTCCTGTGTACATGTGTGCAAGACTGCAAGCTTGTGCTAGATTGCACGAGATCGTACAAGATCATGCGAGCTTGTGCAAGATGACAGAAGGTAGTGCAAGATTGTGAGATCATACAAGTTTGTGCGAGATCACGCAGGCTCGTGAGATCACACAAGATTGTGGGAGACCACGCAAGGCAGTACAAGATTGTGTGAGATCACATGGGACATTCGACACGTGTAAGAAACAGTCCCTGCCACTCACAGAGCCACTCAAGTGGCTTTCTGGACCGCACGAAATTGCACGATAAAGTAGCCTCACACACGGAAGCATTTTAGATATGATTGACGATGAAAAGTTGCGCGACCGAGACATAGACAGACAAAGCGCTGACTCTCAACTGAATAGTCTTGATTGTTTTTGCACAAAGCCCAATGGGGTGACGGGTACTGACATCTGGTGCCTGCGCAGGGTGGTGGTGCGCTCACCGTACACCGGCACGGAGTTCCTGACACGCAGCCGTTACCAACAGATGTGTGGCCGAGCAGGCAGGGCGGGCCTCGATTCCTCGGGGGAGAGCATTCTGATCGTGCCTCCGGGCCAGAAAGACAAGGTGGGTGCTTTCATTCCTTTCTGGGAAGCCACTTGAAGGGGTACTCTGGCATTTTTTTATCTTCTTCGATTTGCCTCAGCATTGACACAGCTGAACTACTAGTAACCCAAATATTAGGCCAAAATAAAATATATATATGTATTTTTTTTTTCACGAAGATATTGCAATTATGTTTTTGGTCCTCACCATCTTCTTCCAACTGAAAATATCTACTGGCAACAATGGAAAAGTGATAACGGCGGAAGGCAGGGACTCTCTCTTTTGACTGTAGAAATTTTTCCCAACCAATTAGTTTGATGGTTTAAATTAATGCCTGGGAAGCTCGCTTCAGCACCCACACAACGGCACAAAACAAATGGGCGGCATACCCCGTTTTCTAGATGATCAGTTTGATCTGCAAGCCCGTCTGCTACTGACATCACGGTGTTGAGAACCGTGGGTATATTTGAATGTCGGTTTTGGCATCATCTTCGTGTGCTGCTTTCAGAATAACTATCCTGAATTTGGCGGTACTAAATATCATGTCGGAAAGGGTAAAGGCCGGGGGGATCCAGAAAATTTTATTAGTTGGGGTAGCTCGAAAAATTGCCGGAGTACCTTTTTAAACGGACGGTGCAACTATTTTCGGATCTTGGTCAATTAATTAAGGGAATTGTTCTGTTACCTAAACAGAAAGCCATTTATTCTTGCGCGTGCTAGATTTTGTAAGAAAACAGTAACAAATCGGAGGTCGAGGTACCCTTCAACTCAAACCTTCCTTCGAGCGAGGCGCACCTACGACAATGTCTCTTGGGGTACAACATTTGGTTCTATCTTCGGTGCCTCCAACCCCCCTCTGCGATTGTTGACTTTTCAAGGTCCGATTTGGCTAAAATGGAGCATTTCCGAAGGTCGTGGCGAGCAGTTGAGACAAAAGACGGTTCGCCAGGGGAAAGACGGGGAGGGTAGCGACGGAGAAGAAACGGCTTCGTTCACTTCCGACAGGCGGCGCCACGAACACTTGTGCACTTTGGACGACATCACTCCGTAGTTCCGTCGACCGCCACACGCAGCTGCAGATTGGGGAAATAAAAAGGTGTTTTTCCTTTCACGATTGGGCGGCGGAATCGCAGTATTTCAATGGAAGGTGGAACGTCGTCTGTCATTTTTGCCGAGATAAGAAATTTACGAGCTGCACATTCTTTCGACGTTAAAATCATTGCACCGCTCCTTTGACTTGGGGGATTTTTTTTTTTTTCGCCCCACATTCTGGGTGGGACAAGTCATGGGTGTGGAACCCTTTGGCAGGCGACTGTTGGGGGCCTCGCAGGTGTTGTCCCTTCTGCGTGCGCCCATGGAAACGTGTCGATCGAGCCTGCTGCAGGACAACCGGCTCGACATGCTGCTACTGAGCGTCATCGGGCTTGGGGTGAGGTTCCGCCCTTCTGCTCTCTCTTCCGAGACAATTAACCCTTTGAGTGCTGGGTCTCTTTTTCCCGCACGTCAAAACGCAAATTTGTTTGCGATTTATAGTTAATCGACGTTGACGTGCCTCCAAACTAAAATATTTGTCTCGAATTATATTTTTCCAGAGGGTACTGTTCAAAGCGGCACCCTGACCTCGCACATCGAGGTCCTTCTTTACCTGTGGCCTTATCCGGCATTTTTAAATTCGGAACTGGGACTTTGTTCTACTTAGTTTAATACAGTAAACTTTCGTTAATTTAACCTCGACGGGACCTTGAAATTTGGTCGAATTATCCGAATGAGCGAATTAAAAAAAAGGACAGAAAAACGGTTAAAATTAAACTCTTTTATTGACCAAAGTACTCACGGATGGTCTGCTGCCGTCTGCGCTTAAAATGCGGGTTCAAAAGCATGCTCCGGAGAGCAGCGTAACTAAACGTCATGTCCCCAAAAAAATTGCGCACTGAAGATACACGCGCATTCTCGCCAGTCTCTGCCGTGCCGCGAAATGGTTTACGAGTCTCCCTCCGACGGAAGGTCTGCAGTCGTCCCTCGCCTCCATGTTTGCATCCCAGCACGGTACACGCGGACCTTCGTGGAGTCGCTCGCATCCCTGCGCCGCCCTCTGCCGTATTGCCAAACGATCCGCAAATCTCCCTCCGACAGGTGGCCTCTACGGAAGCCGCAGTGGCGGAGGTGCTGGACTCGAGCCTGCTCGCGCTCCAGCTGCGTCAAGAAGGGACCGACGTCGGGCAGGTGCTGGCGGAATCCCTGGGACGCCTGCGCGCCCTGGGCCTGCTCAAGGGGGGGTCCGTCCTGGCAACAAGCTCCCTCGGCAGGGCGGCCTTCAAGGGTCGGTGGGGCTCGAGGCTGGTCCACACGTTTGCATTTGAGCCTGCTTGGATGCATTGCGTTCCCCCCCACAGCCGCTTATTGCGAGAGTAATGCCCCTCGATGTGCTCGTGCTTGTCGTGCGAGCAGTGTCAGATGGCGGCGGGGCACTCACTTGTGGCACGTGTCTTGCACGTTCATGCAGCAATAGTTTGTGGTACTTATAAGAAACTCGAAGCATATATTTTATCGAGGTGCTAGTGGTGGTAATAGATTATCTTTATTAAGGGGAAATAAAAACAAAAATGGCTTGACTAAAGTCGTCTTATTTGGTGGGGATGTGAGATGAGGGGTTAGATGGGGTGGTGGGGTAATTACTTGTGTTGGGTTCGCCCACTTTACGTAGCAAACGAACAAGTCCATGATCCGCTTTTTGTGTTATAGTCCTCGTCTGGGGGTCACCCAATCTTCGTACCGTAGGGGTCGTAAATCTCATTGCAACTGCTCATCGCGAGAGAATGTACCGGTCCTCCTGTCGGGTAGCCCTGGATGGAGCGCTTCCAACCTCAGTAAGGATTTTTTTAAGTTTCTAATGGTCATTTTTTTGCAGCGGGCTCGAATTAATTCGGACAATCTTACGAGCGACCATTTCTCGTAGACGGTGTGTGGATTCGACCTCTCAATAACCATGCAACCTTAGGTCTTATCGAACAAATTTTAGTAGCGAAAGAGAAATGCGGTTGTTATGTAGCTATGTGGCACAGCCCGAGGAGAAAGGAGAAATTAGAATGTTTTAGGAAGGCCTTCTGATCCGCACGTAACTAGGCTGCGAGCTACGGATCTCGGCGACCCCAATCGCTGAGATCTTGTTGTCTTCGGTCTAGCTATATGCTGATCGGAAGCATTTCTGGGACTGCCCGACGGACGATGCCGGTGTGGCGGCGCGTTCTCGTCGGAAGCGGTTACGAGGGAACAAATGCACTCGAGCGCGCTCAAACTTGAATTTTGCGAATAAGCCTCCGGAGTGCGGAGTGACAGCCGCACTCTGTCTCGCCTGCAGGCTGCGTGGACCCGGCCCGAGCGCAGCACCTGCACGCGGAGCTGTGGTCCTCGCTGGAGGCCCTATCATTGCGCTGCCACATTCACCTGCTGCACGTAGTGGCACCGCGGGGAATGGGCGCACCTCCCCAGCTGAGGATCGAGCCCTCCCAGTACTACCGCCACGTGCGTCCACTCTGTACCGTGTTGCCCGAAACGCCTCTTCCACCGTTTTACTTGCTGCGTCCTAGAACGTAGTTCCTTAATTTTCGCCCAATGACGTTGGAAAAGTGTGGGCGACGCTCGCATACGCCCAATAGCCGGCGTCACGACAACCTGACGTTGAGGGAAAAAAGGATACACCTAACGTTAGTCCACTTCGTAATTAGCAGCACGCTAAACTCACTTTCTGTACAAGCATCTTATGAGTGTGATTTTGTGTGTTTGCTTGTTTCCGTATTTGGAAGTGTCTTTTTGGGGTTTTCTTTCTCCTGTAGATTTGTCACTTTTGGCATAATGTTTTGTCTGGGCTTGGTGCGTGCGCCGCCGGGTAAACTTCATTTGAGTCCAAACGCTCTGTGCGCAGTACATGGAGTTAGGCACGGAGGAGCAGCGGGCCGCTCAGTCCCTGGGAATCGACGAGGCCCTGGTGACGCGCATGGCCGGTGGCAGGGCACTCAAGGCAAGGCACTCTGCGGCATTCAACAATTACCGGAACCATTAGCTGGGAATCCCGATGGGTTTCTCTATATTTAACACGTCCACGAGGCGGTCGGAGGGCGCCATTGTTCGATCAAAATGGTCTCTCAACATATCGCTCAAGTAGCCGGACCGAATTTGAAGGAGATACGTAGAGATAGACTTGGTGCGAGGACCAAATTGTGGGAAAAACAAGGAGATAGAACAGTGGGGCTAGAATCATTGGGGACCAAAATGGGAGAACAACATGTAAATGGAACCACGAGAAGGACCGAATTGCGAGTGCAACACGGGGATGGAACGGTGGGAGATGTCGCTGGCGGTCGACTCCCAGCGGCCCCCTGAAAGAAAACGGCCCCTTGCTCCAGGCGGAGGAGCGTAGCCTGCTGGAGCGCTTCCAGCTGACCCTGCAGCTGAACGACCTGTGGCACCAGCGCAGTGTCTGGGACGTAGCCGCCAAGTTCGGCCAGCCGAGGGGGCAGGTGCAGGCACTGCTGGCCTCGGCCGCCGCCTTTGCCTCGGCCCTGGCCCACTTCTGCCAGGTGAGAACCAGCCGTCGTATCAGAGACGGCAAGCAGACGCCGCCCCAGGCACGTCTCTTTCTTATACGCGGCCACATTGGTCGCACAAACAGTGTTTGCGGATGCGTTCAAGGCCCGCATTTGCACGAAGCAGACATGTTTCGTACATGCTTGAGGTGTGTCCGGAGATAATTCGGTCGTCTTGTCCGCCGCGAATGCCGTGTCTCTTAGGAGGGTGGTGAGCCGGGCTAGTTGGTACGACGACGTTTGGGACGTAACGGCGCACAAAGGACGAGAACAAAGGAGAGAAACACGCAAGTGCCAACTCTCAACTTCTTTTTTGCATTCAGTTGCGATTCAGGGCTTGTATGTCTCGTGTATTTCTTTCTTTTGTGCGCCGTTATGTTACAAATGCTGTCTTTTGTGCGATGCACGAGCAGTTTGACAGTTGCTTTAGAGGGACACTGACAGGGTATTTATGCTCGCCAAGGTTTTTATTTGTACATTACATTTGCGAGCCCAAATACCCAGAAAACAATTCGTGGCTCGAAATTTGTTTTCTTTCCGCCCGAAAACCGCCAATTGAGAACTGGCCGGTTTGAGTCGTGCTCACTCTCTTCTCCGTTCACATGGGCTGTTTTCTATGGTTTAGACACAACCACCAAATATAATCAAAGCCGTGGGTCATCGAAGGCACACTCACAATATTAAAAATAGAAAAGAAATATGATACCCATTTTTTGTGGCTTCTAAGAAGCTCCCAAACACGTTGATTTGAAAGGAAAATTTGCACCGAGACGTGACTTCCGCCAACTCTCTTCTCCTCTATATTTCTTCTTCCTCCCCAGTTCAGTTTCGGTTTCGAGCAGTTGCGTTTTTTACAGCGGAGCTGTTAAGGGCTAGTTTCCCCAGCATCGTGTCTGCAGACAAACAATGTGTCGACACAATACTCCAGACAGCTATTGCCATCTATGAGTGATGGGGGCAACCTTTCCAGCCTTTCCACTCTGGTGTTCACCAGAGTGGAAAGGCTGAAGTTCTCTAGGCGTTGACCTCGAGGTCCTCCTAGACGTCGTCAGAGAGGTTGTCCTCCAGGTCATCCTAGAGGTCTTTATAGACGTCGTCCTTGAGGTCATCCTAGACGTCCTCGAGATCGTCCTAGAAGTCGTCCTTGAGGTCATCCTAGACGTCGTCCCTGAGGTCCTCCTCTAGGCGTCGTCTTTGAGGTCATTCTTGAGGTCGTCCTAGAAGTTGTCCTTGAGGTCGTCCTAGACGTTGTGCTTGAGGTCGTCTAAGAAGTCGTCCTTGAGTTCGTCCTAGAAGTCGTCCTCTAGGTATCGTCCAAGACGTTCTAAAGATAACAGCTTCGCTGATCCTCCATCTTCACGTGAAGTGGAAGGGCTCTACATTTGAGACTTTATTAAAAATATGTGACGCTGTAGCAAAATATTGATTGGGTAGTCTTCTGACACCGTAACAAAATGGCCTGACAAAAAAAAATTAAAATAAATTTAGGGGGGTGTCAGTGTCCCATTAAGGCTGGCTTGCGCACTCGCGACCGCTTCTAGCCAAGTGCGACATCTCGCAATATTTTATGACGAGAAAACTTTAGAGAGCCTCTAGTTGGTGACAGTTTAGGAGTTGTGAGGCCTCGTCCCACCCTTTTCCACTTTAGCAGAACGAACGCCGGAGAGGAGGTGACCTTTTCTCCGGCATTCACTTTGCTTAAAGGAGCTGTGCAACGATTTTAACGTTGAAAGAATTGGCATCTTCTACTTTTGACATTGTTCATCTTGTCACAAAAGACAGAAAACACATCTCTTTCCTTCGAAATGTTGCGATTCCGCCGCATAATCGCGAGGCAAAAATTAGAATACATGTATTCCCCGACGTGCAGCCGCGAGCGGTGGCCATGAGAACCATGCGGCATGACGTAGAAAGATAGCAAGTTGTGTGAATACCTGCTTGAGAAAAGGTAACTTTTCTATAAATCTTGTCGTTCCAACATAAATATAAATGCGACAAAAACGTGGTATCACTGACAAAATTTTTATTATACGGAGTTTAAGTGGCGCCATCTATCCTTGGTCCACAAAACCGTCAGCTCTATCTGCTACCACGAACAGCCGCCAAAAGCCGGAGGGGGAGGGAGACAGAGCCGGACGAGTATGGCCGGACCCGGATGAGACTTTCCTCCTTTCACCATATTGTTTGCGCTGCGCCCGCCAGCACGTGGTCACGCGGTATCGAGCGGATGAGAGAGAGCTTCACCGGAACCCCGCACGGCCCCGATTGTTGTCACAGCGCACGTGACTCGGAAGATGGTGAAGGAGTTGAGAGGTGCCGAAAACCTCAAATCTTTTTCCATTTTTAAAATAAAAACTAGGACATGCAGGCAAAAGCGGTTTTTGTTCTCTACTTCAGAAAGGTCGAGACACCAACTTCCAAATTCTTTAAACAAAGCACTGAAACTGTTGCACAGCTCCTTTAAGTGGAAAGAGGTGGGAGGAGCTTCCACTTTACCCTTAAAAAGGCACTGAAGGGGATTCTACGATCGTCTGTTCTTGGTCATAACTGATTCTACAGGCCCCAAGCACCCTAAAAATTCAAAAATTACAATCATGCAACGCAGATTTCCCTATTAAAAACGTAGTGAAAGGTTGGGACGCACCACCACCAATATTTATGTTGGCGTGCTAGAAAAGAAAAGCTTGCCATTCTAATGGTTAAGCTAGGGTGCCTACATGTCTGTCTGGCTCAGGGTGATGACGTCCTTTGTTGCATCGAGAGGGCCAGTGCGTGACATGCTCGGGCATTCGGCGCGTGACTTATGCGGTAAAATGGCATCCAAGCATTAGCCAAAACCAGTCTTGTGGAGTACTTTAAGAGGGGGCGCACCTCAGAGCCCCATAAAGAATACGTGAGGTTTTTCACCAAATTAAAAAAATTCTCACATAATAACCGCTGTGCGGATCTTCTTGAAAATTTCGGCTTTAAAGACATTGAGTCATTATCGAGACACTAAGTGCAACAAATGTTTCATCATAAATTTAATTATATTCTTTAAAAAATCATGAAAATGGTCAAAATCGGCTAATTTGGCACTCTTGCGTTCGGAGCGAATTTACAACATTATCTAAATTCAAGCATTAGAAAAATTGCGCTTAATGTCTTCTAAATTTTTTACGGAATCGAATAATATTCAAATTATTCATGTAAGTCGATTTGTTCCATAACTACAGCAAATATAAAGAACCAAGGTGTCGGTGCTTGTTTTCGTCGTTTTTAAGGTACCTCTCTCTCCCGTGCGGTGGCGCTCGCTGTCCACGAAATGCGAAATCGTCCGTTCGGAGATCGGCCGGATCGGCACTGTGCGAGGTGTTCTTCCGCGGCCGTATTCCGCGCCCGTATCCTGTTTCATTCTGCACGCCGAGGCATCAGTGTGCGTGTCTTGCTTTCCTGGTTCTCGCTGGGTAGGTCTCCATGTTTTCGCAAGTGGCAAATTCACCTTGGAGCTATGGGTCGAAGACAACCGTCCTGTGGCAAGCGGACCGCGAGGTGTTCCACAACCTCGCGGTCCGTCAACGCGTTGTGCTTGTTTCTACTTTTCTTTTTTTTTTAAAAACGGGCTTTTTTTTTGACGCAAAGTTCTATTTTATCGTTATCCTTCACACAAACGTCCTTCGGCCTTGGGGTCGTGGAAATCGGGGATGAAGCGTGCACAGAGTAGATCGTTGTTTGCCTCCTTTTTATTTTTCGCGGACGTCCTGTGACCTCCGTACGGTTCGTGGTCACCGCAATCTAACGCGGGGAAAAACGGGTCGCCTGCTCTGTAGTCAGGGTATTCCTAGGGGAGGGTGATAACTCGCTGTTCTTCTGGAAATTCACATATCACCCAAAAAGGTGACATGGGTAATGATTACGGTATGTTTTTTCCGGTGTTTATTTTTGAGCGAAAATCGGTGCATGTTTTTCGGTGCTTATTTTTTAATCACCAGTGTATTATGGGCTGAACGTCTTGTGATGACGCTAAAAAGCGTTGATAACCAAAGAAAAATGCGATTGGACAAGAACATTTCAAATTTCCAATTCTATTCGCATATCCATTACGCTCTTCTCGTGGGAGCATCTATCCTGACGAAAAATGCCTAAGTCATTGAGCTGTGAACGCATACTCAGTGTACAATCTTTCGGCCTAGAGAGGTATTGCGCACGCTCGAACGCGCTTCACAGCCCAGTAGACGAAGTTGGTGGCACCCAGAAGGCGAGTTTTTGAATGGTCTGCAGTAGGCAAAACAAACAAATAACAATCAACGCATATCAGCTCTTCAAGCGAAGAGGCACGTTTCTAAGGTCAATGGTTCCGGACGGCACTAATGTTGTTGGCGTTGTCGTAAGATGACGTCAGTTCATACGAACTGACGTCATCTTACGTGATCACGTGACACAAACACGTCATCTTACATGATCTCGTTACACGAAATGACGTCATCTTACGTGATCACGCTGCACGAAATGACGCCATCTTACGTGACCACGTAACACGTCATCTTGTAAGTCAACCTCTCCCCACAGCAGCGCGCTCCGCGCTTTCCGGGCCCGTGCAGTGCTGTAGTCGAAAGCAAGCTCCCTATGGCAAGCGAAAGCTTCTGAAGTCTCACATTGAGAATACTCGCAAGCGACCGTCTGTGGAAGCTTCGCACATTGAGGTTTTTGTTGAGATCGAGCCATCGTGTTCCATTAACTATAGTTGAAGTTATCGTTCAATAAAGCCCTAAAAAATATGAATGTAGTTGGTGTAGACATCAAGATCTAATCAAAAATGCGGTTTGACTTCGTTTAATTAACGTGTATATACAAGTGTAGAAAAAAATGAGTTATTCGTGCATAGATGTTTAAAAAAGTGTTTATTATTCGACATAGGACTTTGGGAGAAGGATGTGTTCAGATTTTTCTTCATGAGTGCAAATAAACCTGATGCAATAAATAGTGACGATTTCATCGTCCCAGTGGTGAGCAGG